ATAGGCTAATCCTCCGCCTGCGGTGCCGGCACACCGGGTTCTAGTCCTGGTTGCCCCTCTTCCAGTCCAGCTCTCTGCTGTGGCCTGGGAGTGCAGTGGAGGATGGCCCACATCTTTGGACCTTGCACCTGCATGGGAGACCAGGAGAAGCACCTGGCTCCTGGCTTTGGATCAGTGCAGCGTGCCAGCCGCAGCGGCCATTGCGGGGTGAACCAACGGTAAAGGAAGATCTTTCTCTCTGTCTCTCTCTCTCTCTCACTGTCCACTCTGCCTGTTAAAAAAAAAAAAAAAGAACAACAACAAAAAAACAAATTTCTACCAGTTCTTTTCTGCCACCTATGACATTTTTAAGATGCAGTTGCAGGGAGTCCCAAGATTAGAGCCATTTGCACTAGAGATGATTGGAAAACTAATTACCTTGTGTGATTCCAACTTTGTTTTCATTAGTAACTTGCTTTAAATAGCTAGACTGACTGACACCAACAATAGGGGTGTCAAATTTAAACATTACACCTCTGCACTACAATAATTTTAAAATTAAGAAAGTCATTAACGGTATTTGGATAATCTTGGAGTCTGTACTTGAGAAATAAAATCCCAGGAAATGGGTGGACCTAGCAGTGCAATATCTGATTTTGTCAACCAGGAAAGCATGTGGCTACCACATGTCTTACCTTCTCATCAGCAATGTCACCAGCCCCTTAACAGTGCTGAATTTTTCCTGTGAACAAAGAACATGGCTTGTCGTTCTTGCTAATAAATTCACCATGGCAAGCATAATTTGTTCATAATGTTTCCTGTAAGTGTCAGGAACACACAAAGCATCTCTGAATATCTTAAATCTTGGATCGCTCGCCAAAGGGGCAGGGTTTCCGTGCTCTAACATCCTTAGTAAGTGTGCTCCATCGTGATCACAAAAACTAAGATATACATAAATCTAAGATTTTTGTTTTCGGGATAAGTAAAATTGAAAAAAAACTCATGTTCTTTTCTTGGGGCCATCTGGTAACTTCACTAAGAAGGAAGGATTAAATATGTTTCTAGCTGCGTTTAGCAAACCCATATGGTGCCAATCATCACAACACAGGCCAATGGGAGAGCTGAATTTCATTAGTGTGTTCTGAGACTCGGCTGATCACGTGTCACTTCAATTGCTAGATTCTATGCAGATACACTTCTTTTACCTAGTATTTTCTAAACACTAGCTATAATTGATATGCTCTATTTTTTTGTATAAGTTCATCAATAATAATTTAGCTAAACTAACAAAAATTCTTCAACAACTCTGATCTCTAATAAATACACTGAAACCAAGTTCAGCACGCTACAGGAAGTAATTAAGAAGGCACCCCAGTGTGTTTGGGTACACCAGGTCAGCCAAAACAAGATTTTTCTATTTTTATGAGTTTTTGTCAAATTTTAAGTCTGTCTACATTTTAAAACAAAAATATAAAGGAATTTGTTGGTAGCAATGAACTCTATAAATATTAAAAAATTATAGTCCATGTAACTTTAAGAGGGTTTTTCCAAACAAATGGCCTAGACATGCAATAAACGTACCTATTCAATTTCAAACCCCCCCCCCCAAAAAAAAAAAAACTCAACAAACCATAATAAATACCACAGGTATTTTCTGGTTAGTTATATAGTAGGATATTTTAAAAAGTTTTGGAAAATGGAATTAAAAGATAAATAATTTTGGTGCCAAAAATGTTGGAAATCCATACATACAGGGGTCCCTAAAAAGTTAATGGAAAGTATGTATTAGAAAAAAATTTACATGGATCTCAAAATATTTTTACACCAAAATAAACCTACATTTTTCCATTTTCCAGGAACGTGTTGAACTACCTCCTATACACGCACACTACGTAAGTGTGTATGTGCACCTGTGTGTTTGTGTGATTATATGTGCTATGTAACACAGCAGCCATGTAAGAACTGCTCCTTGCGAGAGGTCATAAGTGGTCATCAGTTTTATCACCTTCCTTCAGAAGGGGCTGCTCCTGGGGTCAGTGCTGTGGCACAGTGGGTTAAAGTCCCAGCCTGCAGTGCCAGGGATGCCAGTTCAAGTCCTGGTTGCTCCACTTCCAATCCAGCTCCTGCTAATGCACTTGGGAAATCAGTGGAGGATGGCCCAAGTCCCTGGGCCCCTGCACCCATGTGGCTCCTGGATTTAGCCTGGCCCAGCACTGACTGCTGCAGCCTTTTGGGGAGTGAACCAGTGGATGGAAGATCTCTTTATCTCTCTCTCTAACTCTGTCTTTCCAATAAATAAAATAAATCTTTATTTTAAAAAAAAAGAAAGAAAAAAAGAAAGGGCTGCTCCTAGGTTTCCCCAGGAGCTCAGCTCCTGTGGTCTACTTGAGCCATATTCCCCCACCTCGTCTGCCTTCATGGAACCCACAGTAAAACCCGACCTTACACAGCATTCCCATCTGCAGGGAACAGCTGCACTTGGCAATAACTGACTCAGTTTTTTACTCTTTTTTTTTTTTTTTTTTCCACAGGCAGAGTGGACAGTGAGAGAGAGAGACAGAGAGAAAGGTCTTCCTTTGCCGTTGGTTCACCCTCCAATGGCCGCCGCGGCCAGTGCACTGCGGCTGGCGCACCGTGCTGATCTGATGGCAGGAGCCAGGTGCTTCTCCTGGTCTCCCATGGGGTGCAGGGCCCAAGGACTTGGGCCATCCTCCACTGCACTCCCTGGCCACAGCAGAGAGCTGGCCTGGAAGAGGGGCAACCGGGACAGAATCCGGCGCCCTGACCGGGACTAGAACCCGGTGTGCCAGCGCCGCAAGGCGGAGGATTAGCCTAGTGAGTCGCGGTGCCGGCCAGTTTTTGACTCTTACAGGAACTCTACCAGGTAGGTTTTTCACACTGATCCTTCACAGTGCACCTCCAAACTCTCTTTCCTTCTTTTGACTCAACTTGGGGTTTTTTTTAGGATTTTTAAAAAAATTTTATTTGAAAGGCAGAGTTACAGAGAGGCAGAGGCAGAGGGAGAGAGGGAGAGAGGGAGAGAGGGAGAGAGGGAGAGAGAGAGAGAGGTCTTCTATTTGCTGGTTCACTCCCCAGATGGCTATAAAGGCCAGAGCTATGCTGATCTGAAGCCAGGAGCCAGGAGCTTCTGGGTCTCCCACGAGGGTGCAGGGGCCCAAGGACTTGGGCCATCTTCCAGTGCTTTTCCAGGCCACAGCAGAGAGCTGGATCAGAAGTGGAGCAGCCGGGACTCCAACTGGTGCCCACATGGGATGCCGGCACTGCAGGCAGCAGCTTTACGCACTAAGCCACAGTGCTGGTCCCTAACTCTGTCTTTAAGTAAACCTACCTCTTTTTTGCTTTTATTCTCATGCTCATATTTAACTTGATTTTTTCTGTGCTTATTTCTCTCTGATCCATTCTCCCTATTTGGACTACTATTTTATCTGCCTGACTTTTGTTCCCACTTCTCCTTCCCTGTACCACATTTTTTTCCCCATTATTGATACCTTTCCTAAGATCCTTAGCTTGTGGTCTTTACTGGACTATGAACCTTCAGGGTGAGTGAGGCATGATCTCAGGACCCCCATGGCTGATCCCTGATGAATACACTAGTTCCTAAATCATAGGGGGAGGGGAGGCACACAAGCAGGCTGGGTGCCTAGGAAATCTAACGGAATTGGGCAAGCAATGCTTCCAATAAATGGAGCACACACAGTGGAGGAGAAGGAAGGGGGGAGAGTTTGGGTTCAGGGATAATCAGTCAGTCAGAAAGAGTGCTATTGAGATAATTTTGCAAGAAATAAAGGCACAAGCTTCCCTGGTGTGTATTTCAAGCACACCCTCCTCAGCGAAGGCCCTGGAGGGTGGTGCTTAAGACACCTGAGCTTACGTCAAAATCCAGTTGTCCACATCTTCCTCCAGTGTAAACAAACAATGAATTTAATAATCTCTATACACTTTAATTTGGAAAGAGATTTGTTGGCACCAGTGCTATGGCACGATGCGTAAAATGCCACAGTCTTCAGAGCTGGAATCCTGGCTGTTCCACTTCTGAACCAGCTCCCTGCTAATGCCCCTGGGAAAGCAGAGGAGGATGCCCCAAGTGCTTGGGCCCCTGCACCCATGTGGGAGACCCAGAAGACGCTCCTGGCTCCTGGTTTCAGCCTGGCCCAGCTCTGGCCATTGTAGCCATTTGGGGAGTCAACCAGTGGATGGAAGATCTCTCTCTCCCTCTCCTTTTCTCTCTATCTCTGCCTTTCAAACAAATAAATATTTATGAAAAAAATAGATTTGTTAACTTTTTTCCTATATATTGTATTTATTAAATAAAGTATTTATTTTTTGTATACATATACAGAAATATTTTATTAAATAAAGATATTAAATAAAAGATAGATATGTGTTTGTGTATATATATATGTTTGTACATATATATATATATTACATGTAATGCAATCATGTGCAAAGTGAACTGCAGATACAACAAACATAAATGAATTTAAGACATGGACACATAATTCAAGTTGCTTTGAAACTCTGAAGGAAGGTAAAACAAAACAATATTATAATAGAAATAAACAACTTTACAAAGAACAGAACTTTTAGAGCTGGGGTGAACCAATTAATAAAGAATAATTGAATAATGATATAAAATCGAAACAGCAATTCAAGGGAAAATAATTGACTCCATCATGCTTAAATGAAAAAAGAATGACACAAATAATAAGTATAATAATTATACCAATATACTTTCTGTCTATGCTACATACAGTTAGCACTTGATACATGCTTCCTTTTCATTACTGTTTCTGTGTTCTATCTCCCCTACTACACTTTAAGGGTCTTCAAGGTACAGGAATGCTATATGAACGGCACAAATACAGCATTAGTAGATATGGATATCCCCCTGGGCTACAGATATAGATATGGATATCCCCCTTGGCTACAGAATAAATTCATGAAGGTATAGCACACTGTTGGAAAACAAAATCACTGGATCATAGGTTTTAAAAGCTTACCAGGTAATTTTACATGAGCCACGCTAAAGAAAGTCACATGTAAGCCCATGCACAATGTCTTGCATGAGGAACTATAGTGCGTGTTGAACAAATCAACTCATTCAGCAGTATTATTCATTCAGAGTCCGTCTGGCTCAGTCATGGTTTTTGAGCACTTGCTACATCACTAGATCCTTCTCACAAAACACTTATGACACTGTAGTACACAGCCCACAGTGATGAAACAATTTGCCTATGACCATCATGGTTACAGCAGAATCCATACGCAGGCACCAAAGGAGTGCTGTGTCACGTGACCTCGCAAAGGAAGGCCTATCACACTAAGTTGTCTTCCTGCAACCAGGTGTGCTTTCCTTTGCATTATTTCTTTTTGTAAAACTGGACAACACACTTCCAAGTTATAAATGGGATGTGTGGTTCATGTGGATTTGCCCTGATCCAGCACTGATAAAAAGCTTGTAAAAAATGGAATTAAAAGATAAATTAATTTTGGTGAAAAAATTTTTTGAAATCCATGCATAAAGGAGACTCTTAAAAAGTTCAGAGTGTAGTGCGTAAACAGACCTCCTGCTATGGTTGCATCCTATATGGGCATATCCCAACTGCTACACTTCCAATCCAGCTCCCTGCTAGTGACCTGGGAAAAGCAGCAGGATACGGCCCAAATACTTGGGCTCTTGCCACCCATGTGGGAGACCTGGATGAAGCCCATGTCTCCTGGTTTTGGCCTGGCTCAGTTCTGGCTGTTGGGAGCACTTGAGGAGTGAACCAGTGGATGGAAGACCTCTCTCTGTAACTCTTTTTGCTTTTTAAAGATTTATTTATGGGGCCGGCACCCTGGTGCAGTAGGTTAATCCCATATGGGTGCCCATTCTAGTCCCAGCTGCTCCTCTTCCAATCCAGCTCTCTGCTGTGGCCTGGGAAAGCCACAGTAGAAGTAGAAGTAGAAGATGGCCCAAGTGCTTGGGCCCTTGCACCCATGTGGGAGACTGGGAGGAAGCACCTGGCTCCTGGCTTCGGATTGGCGCAGCTATGGCCATTGCAGCCATTTGGGGAGTGAAACAATGGAAGGAAGACCTTTCTCTCTCTCTCTTCCTCTCACTGTAACTCTATCTCTTAAATATTTTATTTATTTGTAACTCTGTCTCTTAAATATTTTATTTATTTGAAAGGCAGATTACCAGAAAGGCAGAGAGAGAGAAAGAGAGAATTGAGAGAGAAAGAGGTCTTGCATCTGCTTGTTCACTCCCCATATGGTCGCAATGGCTGGAGCTGTGCTGATCCGAAGCCAGGAGCCAGAAGCTTCTTCCGGGTCTCCCATGCAGGTGCAGGGCCCAAGCACTTGGGCCATCTTCCACTGCTTTCCCAGGCCATAGCAGAGAGCTGGATCAGAAGTGGAGCAGCTGGGACTTGAACCGGCGTCCGCATGGGATGCCGGCACTAAAGGCGGTGGCTTTATCTGTTGCGCCACAGTGCGGGCCCCTCTCTGTAACTCTTGACTTTCAAAATAAATAAATATATATATATTTTAAATAGAGACTCAAATTTAATAGTGTGACCATCATGAATTAAGTTTAATGCTAGTTTGAATGGAATACTGAAACTTCATTATTCAAGTCTCCAATGAAATATTTCCACAGCTTTTAAATATTAATATCAATATTTCAAATTCTCCATTACCTGTAGCTGTCTTTTTTTTTTTAAAAAAAGGATTATTTATTTATTTGAAAAGCAGAGTTACAGAGAGAGAGGAGTTAGAGAGAGTTACAGAGAGAGAAGAGACAGAGATCTTCTATCTGCTGGTTCACATTCTAAATCTCTGCAAAAGCTGGGCAGGGGGGTTGGCCAGGCGGAAGTCAGGAGCCAGAGGAGCTTCATATGGGTCTCCTAGGTGGGTGGCAGGGGCCCAAATGCTTGGGCCATCCTTTGCTGCTTTCCTAAGCACAGAAGCTCAGAACTGGACCGGAAGCAGAGCACCTGGACTTGAAAAAGGTCTTTGATATGGGATGCCAGTCTCACAGGCAGCACATCACTCACTGGACCAAAACACCCCTGGTTATGTGTTTTTGTAAATCAAGTGTTGGGCCTACTCACTCTTTCCCTCTCTGAAGCCAGATGACCTCGCCTGCATTATTTCTGTTAGTAGACTGGGACATTGATGCTTCTGAGGTATACATGGCTTGTGTGGTTACATATAGGTGGGGGGCTTGACTCTGATCTAGCCCTATTATGCTTCAAGCAACTCAGCTTACATAATATCAACTGATCTCCCTCTTTGAGCTCCTCAGGACTCTATATCCTTCCTGTCATACACCGTCTTGGATTGTTGCTAAAGGCGGTACACGTGTAGCACAGTGCAGCATGGCAGAAATACGTATCCAGTAAATGAAACAACGAATGGAAAAGATCTGGGGAGCATTACAGAGTACTAGAGACTCACAAACAGACTTTACAGACGACATAACTGCAGTAATTATAAGAGCATGCTTAGTGACAGTTCTCATATGGCTTTCAGTCTCTTCATTAAGCCCACATTCCACTCGGTTACATCTTGACGCAAAAAAAAAAAAAAAATGGGTCCAACTTATAGTAATAGTCTACCCACAAAGAAAATAACAACCGAGGAGAGATTCTCTTATTTTAAATTGATCTCTGCTTGCAGGAACATATTTAGAAACTACTCTTAAACATGGCTTTTAATCATTTGAAGAATAATGAGTGCATTTGGTGCTATGTAGAATTGGTAACTGAAATTGCATAGGGACAAAAAATATCAAAGCCTCGTTCTTCTCATTCTTTGAAAGTAGAAGGTTTGAGAGGGGAAAAAGAATCCCTTATTGACACTAATCATGAATATCTTACGTGCTGCAGGTAGGTGAGAAAACAAAATGAAATACTTGTTTTAAAGACACAGATGATGACGTTGTCTTCTACGAATCCTAATGCTAGAACAAAAATTGAACATGGAAATTCTTATGTTGGTACCTGTGTAATTAATACAGCTGGATGGGAAGTGGAGCAGCTGGGACCTGAAGTGGTACCCACATGGGATGGTGGTGTTGCAGGTGGCAGCTTTACTCGCTACACTACAATATTAGTGCACACACGTATGCATGTATGTATGTGTATACACGCAACTGTTTGCTACCTCTGCCTGCTTAGCAGGCCTAGAAGCAGTGTTATTCCAGTACCAATGAGTACAAGTGTCTAGATGCTTATTTATAAATGTAATTCTACAGTAAAAGGAATAAGGGCTATGGTTTGAAAAAGAAAATAAAAGATGAACCTGCAACACCTTGTGGTACCAGGAAATAAAGAAATATCAAAAATGACAGGGACAAACCAAAAAGACACATCACCCAGCCTGAAGGAGCTACTGCAGGACAAATTTGGTACAAGTTGATCATCAAAACAGATGAAAGATTAATGGATTATAATTCATTGAATAAAATAAGAATACAATGAGGTCTACGATACCAATAAGTTAGGAAAGATGGAAAGATGTTCCTTGTGATAGAAACTGAATTCTTTTCTGTAGAAAGAAAGAAGAGAATGGAAAAATTACCATCTGGCAATCATCACAGTAACAACTGATTCAGGAAATAAGCTCCAATGCTGCTGAAACTAATGGAGAATGGAGGAGGAATGCCAGGCTGTTTACATAATTTCAAAGCATTACTCCCCCCAAATGCATATTAGTTACAAAAAGAAAACAGCAACTTTGCAACAGGCAAACTTGATCCATTAATCGGCTGATCAACGTTTCATCACCATTGACCGCAACCTGCAGCCAAAGTCCTCCAAGGACACACCTGCCATTGAACAAGTGGCAGTGAGGGGGAAAGCTCACCCTGAGAAACATGGAGTGTCTCATTTAAGCAGATGTCACACAGAAATTACTGGATTATCTTGTGTTAGGCAACTTAGGGGTGGGTTTAAGGAAGTGGCTCTGAATTGGATGCTATTGGGAAGTAGGTTGTCTGACTACTAAACTGCACATACAAAGGTACTTCAAAAATTCATGGAAAATGGAATTAAAATATAAGTTTATTTGGGAGCAAAAAATGTTTAAATGTATGCATAGAAAGTGTATTCAAAAATTCATGGAAATGAGTACTATATAAAAAGTATGGATTTCAAATTTTTTGCAACAAAGTAAACTATCATTTCAGACCATTTTTCTTTTTTTTCCAAGTTTTTTCTTATTTATTCAAAAGGCAGAGTTACAGATGAGAGGGAGAGATAGAAAGAGAGACTCTTCCATCCACTGGTTCACTCCCCCAATGGCCACATCTACTGGATGGGGGCAGGGGCTCACGCACTTGGGCCATCCTCCGCTGCTTTCCCAGGCACATTAGCAGGGATCTGGATCAGAAGTAGAGCAGCCAGGACCCAAACTGGTACCCATATGGGATGCCAGCATTATAGGTGCTATAGGCGGAGGCTTTACCTGCCACAGCACAGCATGGATCCCATTTTTCTATGACCTTTTGAAGTCCCCTGGTAGAAGGAAAGTAGACTGAAGCTAGCGCCATGGTTGGTAAAGAAATCACAGACATATGTATCAGCCAGGACAGAAGGGTGCTTGGCCACTTGTGTCATGACGGCAATGTTTATGATTTTAACTGGGCTCAGATGTGCTAATGGAACAGTCTTGTCACAACGTCACACAGTAGCCTTGACTCAGGTTGATGACCTGGGAAATCAATAGTTTATGTTCAACAGAAGATCTCCAGGCTCAGCGAGGAGTCCCAGCCTATCTCCAAGCAACACCAACGCCTGGCTAGTGGGATTTTTAAATCCCCAATATCAGGGATAAATCAACATCATGTGCCCCCTCATATGATGCGTTTAGAGGAGATACCAACACTTCTGCTGCATTCCTGCCAAAAGTGCATAATCTCATTCTAATCCTGAAAAGCACTCAACAAATAAAATTGATGAACAGTCTACAAAAGAGCAGACCTGTATTCTTACAAATGTCAGCGTCATCAAAGAAAGACATATTGAAGAACTGGTCTTGAGGAAGCACCTGGCTCCTGGCTTCAGATCAGTGCAGCGTGCCAGCCATAGCGGCCATTTAGGGGGTGAACCAGTGGAGGGAAGACCTTTCTCCCTGTCTCTGTCTCTCACTATCTAACTCTGCCTGTCAAATAAAAAAATAAATAAATAATTGAAAAAAAAAAAGAACTGGTCAGATTTAAGGAGACTAGAAAGACATAACTGGATGCAAATACATGATTTGGAATTTTCTTTGGCTTTAAAGGACATCGCTGGATAATTGGAAAATTCTAAATGTTTCTGTAGGTTGGATTATTGTACCATTAATTTTCTTACATTCATATTTATACTGTGATATATAAGAGACTGCCTTTACTTTTAGGAAATACATGTTAAATTATTTAGTGTTAAAGGTGCACCACGTCTGCATTTTTTTTCTTTTTTTAAGATTTATTTATTTGAGAGGCAGAATTAAAGACAGAGAGAGGGAGAGGCACAAAGAGAGGTCTTCTATCTGCTGGTTAAATCCCCAAATGGTCGCAACAGTTGGAGCTGGGCTGATGTGAAGCCAGGAGCCAGGAGCTTCTTCTGGGTTTCCCACATGGGAGCAGGGGTCCAAGCACTTGGGCTGTCTTCCATGCTTTCTCAGGCCATTAGCAGGAAGCTGGACAGGAAGTGGAGCAGCACCCATATGGAATGCCAGTACCAAATGCAGGGGCTTGACCTACTATGACATTGCACTGGCCCTGGGAAACTTACTTTCAAGCAGTTCAGACAAAAAAAAAAAAAAAGTAATATCATATGTGAACACACACACACACAAAAAGAAGAATAAAACAAGATTTGGAAAGTATAAGTGAAGAATTTGTGGGGATTATTTAGATAACTTCTGAGAATATTCTGGAAGCCTATAATTATACAATAATTAAAAATTAGAGGGGACAGTGCTGTGGCACAGT